CTGTACCTCTGAAACAAATAATGCAATATATGTTAAGAAAAAAAAAAGAAGAAGAAGAAGGTAGCGGGAGGGGAAGAATGAAGCGGGGGAAATCGGAGTGGTAGACGAACCATGAGAGACGATGGACTCTGAAAAACAAACAGGGTTCTAGAGGGGAGGGGGGTGGGAGGATGGGTTAGCCTGGTGGTGGGTATTGAGGAGGGCACATTCTGCATGGAGCACTGGGTGTTATGCACAAACAATGAATCATGGAACACTTCATCTAAAACTAATGATATAATGTATGGGGATTAACATAAGAATAAAAAAAAAAAAAGAAATCCTGTGCTCCACATCAAATCCATCACTACCTATGACCCACTTTCCCAGTTTATTAGCTCCAGGGGGACCTACCTACCCGAGTCCAAAGGGCAGCACAGAGGGCAGGGGACAGGGCCCCAGACGAGAGGTCTGGTATGGTTCAGCGAAACCCGGATTCGTAGGGCTGAGAGCTGGAGAAGGGACAGCTCGCTCCTCGGCCCTAGGACAGAAGGAAGGAAAGTTAATCCAGTAGTTACTGGTTTGTTCTTTGAAAGAAGTTACGTCCAAAATGTTTCTTGATGCTGTCCATTCATTCCTAATACCAATCAACTCTCTCCCAAGACGCAACAACTGCTATCACATAGTACTGAACATGGTAATGATGCAGTAAAACACACACACACACCTCCTTCCCAAAGGTGAACATGAGTACGTGTGCATGAGAGAGCAAGTTCAAATTTTGAATTCAACCATTCCCATCCTGAGCAATTCATGGTCATGACAGTTGGTATGTGAAAAACTGCCCTGAATGGGGCATCAGCACTGGGAGAAAAATCTCAGAAGCACTTTCCTTGAGAAGGACGAGAAAAAAATTAAAAAATGGGATTCATAATGTTCAAGACACAAGCTGATGCTGATCAACTAAAAAATTAACAGGACTACTGTCTTTAGTCTTTTACAGATAATACATTTATTAATTCCTATTTACAGGACACTTACTCAAAAGGCCAAGTATTTATTCCATTCCAAAGTAAATTAAGTTTTAACCACTCAGTTTGTGGATTTACCCATATCCTCTCTTCATTTCCATTTCCCTGACTAAATCACTGCCCTGTTCTAAAGGGGGGTCTTATTTCTCTGAAAGATATGCAACATTTTGAATGTTGTGTGTTTTTTGTAGGGATAAAGTCCTTAGCTTAGGCCAGATTTTTAAAAAGACCTGTCCCCTCCCCGAACCCCTTCCCCCCCAATACAATTGTTTAAGAGGGTGAAGTCCAAAAGATGATGTAGTTGATGATTGCTAGTATCCACAGCAATGATGATTTGCTGAAAGATTTTCTGAAACTGGCCACTGGAGCTGTCTTCCAAAAGACAAATTGAAGGATTTCATGAAATTGGATCTATCTTCCAAAAGGAATGAACTTAGATAACAAAGACGATGGGAAGCACCAGAGGATTACATTTACCCATGCTGACCTTGTCTTCTTTTCTGCACAGTTTCACTAGTTTTAAACAAAGGAAAATCACCATCCCCTCATTTTTGTTGTTGATTTTGACTTTATTAATTCAATGATAGTGCAAACACTAGGGAAAATGGACATGCCTTCTTATTTATATTTCCTAGAAAATCTTTTATTTGGAATTAATAAAATGCAGACTACCTGCATTGGTAGAAAAACTTCAAAATGATTAAGATATCAAGGGACACACATTTAGAATCAGATGAAAACTCAACTCATCTTTTCCCAGATTTCAAACTGCACTACAAAGCTCTAGAGATCAAAACAGCATGGTACTGGCATAAAAACAGACACATAGATCAATAGAACAGAGAGCCCAGAAATAAACCTACACTTGCGTGGTCAATTAATCTGCAACAAAGGAGGCAAGAATATCCAATGGGGAAAAGACAGTCTCTTCAATAAATGATGCTGGGAACACTGGACAGCTACATGCAAAAGAATGAAACTGGACCACCTTCTCACACCACACACAATGAACTCAAAATGGCTTGAAACCATAAAATTCCTAAAAGAAAACAGGCATCTGTTTCCTCTGACATCAGCCTTGGAAAACTCAACTGGTCTTGATTTAAATTGAAGAGGCATCTACACCTGACAAGTCAGTCCACTGTTGTTGTGGTGGTTTTAATTGGAAAATTCCTCTATCTTCCATTCTTCTGCAGCGCAAAGTGCTTCACACGCAGAAGGTGCTCGAATACTTGCTGGATTGAGTCAATTCTTTGGTATCGCTCATAAATTAATGAGGAACTTGTAACTCTGTATAGTTTCAGAGTAGTTAAAGAGAGAAAAAAAGAAATGCTACGTAACAGGACTGGGGCTTCAGGTGTTACCTAACAGAGCAGAAAGCTTTCCAGCAGAGCACTTAAGATATCGGTCATCTTACCATCTTCACTCCGAGCTTTTTTCTAATGCAAATTAGTCTGAATTTCTCCCTCCTGCGTCTGGTCTCCCACCTGAAAGTCTTCTGAACAAAGAAATACTACCGTAATTAGGACTGCCTGGCAAAAACCTATTCCAAATTTCGTTTCAGAAAGTTGCATATTCGACTTTCCCTCTACTTCCAAGCTTACTTTCAACGATGCGTATTGTGTGCATTTATGGCTAATGCACATTGTTCCCAGTTCTCAGATAAAAAAAAGCCGAACCTCAGTGTCCCCCCACAGCGAATTACCATTTTTGTTATTAGCGCTTCCATTCACGATTTACCAACTCTAGACCCCAAACTGATCACGGGGAGGGTAAGAATCCACGCCCCCTTCCCCACAGCGTCCCTGACAGCTGCCAGACCCTTGTAGGTCTTCCACCTTCGCGGCCTTGACCTCCACCCGAGAATGCCCAGCATGCGTCCCGTGCCCGCCCGGCCCCGAGAGCCCCCTCCGTGCGGCAGTCACTGCGAGTAAACCGGTCTCCTGATCAGTGGTCTTCCCTAAGCGTGGGGCAGGAGCTTGCCGGGGCCGCAGTATCAGACCCGCTACCACGGCAGCGCGCCCCGCACGGGAGGTGTTCAGGAGGCGGCCGGAGCTCTAGGCAGGGGGCCACCACTACCGAATTTTAAAGCAGCAAGGCGCATCCCCTTCACGGAGCTGCGGAGACCGGCCACACTTGGCCGGCTGCTGAGGGGAGGCCCGGCCCCCGAACCACAGCTCCCCTGGCCGGGCACCGGGCGGCCCAGCGCGGGGACCCCACCCGGTGGCCCCGCGGGCAGCGCGCGGCCCCAGCGAGGAGGCCAAGGGCAATAATGGGATTTCAAAACCGGAGGGGACACGAACAGGCGAGAAGCGAGCCTCGGCGGGGCAGGGCTGAGGGTGTTTGCGGAGCACCGTGAGGGCGCCGGCGAAGCGGCGGGAGCCAAGGCTGGCTCAGAACCCAAGGGAGGCGAACGTCTCGTAAAGTCTGGGCCGCCGCCGCAGAGGGGGAGACGGAGGGAGACGTTTCCGGAGGAAAGCACTGCTCAGACTTTATCCTGTCAGCGCTTAGAGACCGCCGAGGTGGGGCAAGTCTACGTTGTTGCCTGTTAGTTTTAGGAAGGAGTGAGAGCCAGAGACCGAGAGGGAAGCCCGGGAGACAGCAGACACGACCGCCGGGCCGCGGTGGGCCCGACGCACGGCCGTCAGCGCCCCGCGCGCGCCCG